CTGGTCTTCCTCACTCATTTCCATAGATTCAGCCAATCCATTCAGACAAAGGAATATGTGTCCTCTTCCAACTCTACAATTCAATGATTCAGCAATCAACTCTCTCTATTGAAATGACTGGAGGAATGCTCTTTGCATACCAGAGCAGCTGCACCAGCTGTAACAAACCATGACAAGCCGAGTAACAAACAAGCAACGGTGTTGGCCCAATGCAACCAATACAGGGTCAGTAAAATAATGCTTTGATTAGCACCATTATCAGAACCTGACTTGTAGCAGGTCGGGCTGCTTATCCATCTTTGCTATTGTCTCCTTAGAGAGGCAACAGTGCTCTAGCAACTCAGGAGAGGGTTTTGAATATGGGGTCTGCCGCATTCCAAGAATGTTCTCTATCACTTCCTCCCTAACCTATGTGCACATGTCCTGCTTGAGAATATCCCATGGACATCTGGTTAGCCACTGTAAGAACAGGATGCTGGACTAAATGGGCCTTTGGTTCGATCCACCAAGCATTTGTTTATTTTTAGTACACTGTTAGACCATTTGCAAATTCAGCCCCAAAGCTATTTCTGAGTTTTCACTACATCCACAAGGACTGGGAATGTGGTTTGTTTTTAAATGCAAATGGATTCTCTGTAATCTGATGGTTTCATATTTCATTGGGTTATGCTGTAAACCAGAATACCTGATTGGAATAATGAGTCGAGATGAAATACTTATTGGCTCATTCAAAGCAATATTTCTGATCAAATTTCATGCATTTGCATTCACAATCAGGTTTTGTGTCCCTGCTACCATCTTGCAGTGGATATTCCACATCCATCTTAATTATCTCCACTTTAATTATTTGCAGCTTCTATTCAGAGGAAGGGGACTTTAATTTAGTTGTGAAAAATCAAACTAAGTGAGAAAAGATTTCCATAGTGAATTCAAACTTCAGTCAATTTTTCTACAGCTCATCTCTGTTGCTGTCCTCTGTTACCCTGCTCCTACAGCTCAATATCCTCTCATTTTCCAGTAAGAATGTTGATATTTTAAAAGGATGCTGTTAAAATGGGCAGTTCCTCTTCTGTGTTTCTTTTCCTTTTCAAATCTTGAAATGACATTGTGCTCCACATTGTTGAAATTAGCAACACTTGGATTTAAATTTGTGTAATATCCCAGTCAGCAACAGAACCTCATTAAAATCTACATTAAAAAGTCCATAACATTAGCGCAATGGACAGATTCCAGCGACCCTTTCTATTTGCATTTCCCTAGTAAAAGGCTTTAAATGAATATCTTAATTAGACCCTGGATATTAGCAAGAACATTACACAAAGTAAAATTATGCCATAAACCTCAGATCTGGTCTATTTCCTTCATAATTCTTCCGCTGGCCTCCATGCTTTTAATAGTTGGAAAATGTTTCCTTTTTTAAATCTCTTGTTCCTTTCATTGATCTTTCTTTTAAGCTTAACCAGTCTCCTCTCACATGTTTCCAGCTACCAAATATATAGTTAGCTAGGTCATGATGTGCAATTCAGCATTCTTGAAAGGGCAGCCTTGTGATTTCTGAGGAATAGTCAGATCCAACCCTACCATTAGACATAATGAGGCAGTTACCTCAGGCAGAAGATCATGAGGGCTTATGAGGTACAACACCATCCTTCCCCCTACTCCGCTGTCCCCTTCTGTTGAAGTACACAATTGTGTGCACCCCTTAAAATAGTCTGATTTCTCCAAGAGTGGTGGAAGACATCATCCTATTCCACAGCTTCTATACAATGGTACCTCAGTTTTCGAACATCTCAGAAGTCAAATGTTTCAGTTTTCAAACACCAAAAACCTGGAAGTAACTGCTTCGGTTTTCAAATGCTTTTTTGAAGTCGAACGTGCCACACAGCTTCTGTATTGAGTTTTTCAGAAGTAAATGCTTCAGTTTTTGAACGTTTCGGAAGTCATATGGTCTTCCAGAATGGATTACGTTCAAAAACAGTGGTACCACTGTACATAGAATGGACACTGTATTATCCTTTACCTCCTGCAGCAAAATGTCTTGGATGTTGTGCCCACCCAGGTATGAGTGAAAAGGAGAACTGGACTAGAACAACCAAGTTTCACTAAGATATGAGATTGAAATATAGCTATGGTCGCAGTGAAACTTGGTGGTCAAAGTTGGCATCCAGCTACCATGTTGCATCAGTGCAAGGATTTACTCCTGCATAATGGAACTTTCCCCCCTGTGCACCCCTTACAGCTCTTCTAGGAGTTCCCCCAAACCTCCACACAGATTCCTAGGGAGGACACATTCTTGATGAATACCATCCATTATTGCCAACACACGCAAGAAGACTGAAGGCAAGCTAACTGCATGCATGTGTAAACCTGCGCACAAGGGAAATGGTTCCTTGAGCCTATGCACTCAAACACTGGTATCCTCTAGGTTAGATTACTGCAATGTGTTATACATGGGGCTGCCTCTGAAGACAGTTCGGAAACTTCAGCTGGTGCAGAATTCAGTGGCCAGGTTCGCTCACCAGGGCAAGACAGTTTGACCATAGTACAGTGACCCTGATCCAACTGCTGGCTGGCTGCCAATTAGTTTCCAAGCCCAACTCAAAGTGCTGGTTTTGACCTATAAAGCCTTAGGTAGCTCAGGATCACAATTCCTCAAGGACTGCCTCTGCCCACATCAATTGATCCGGACCCTGAAATCATAATCTCTGGTCCTTCTTCATGTGCCGCCTCTGTGAGAGGTACGGAGGATGGCAACACAAGAATGGGTCTCTTCTTTGGTGGCTCCTCATTTGTGGAATGCTCTCCCCAGGGAGACTTGCCTGAGGCATTCATTACATATCTTTAGGCACCAAGTGAAAACATTCCTCTTCAACCAAGCCGTTGGTTGATTAAACAATCTATGGCCTTTTCAACTGTGGGTGGGTATTGTTCATGCTTGTTATTATGTTATGCATTTTTGTATGTTTATATTGTGATTCTCAGATGAAGGGCGGTATAGAAATTTTATAAATAACATAATTTAAATAAGTAACATCAGTTGTTTTCTGCATTCCTGGGATTCTGGTAGAAGGTAACCAAGAAGCCTGGGCCAGGTGCAAGGCCAGTTCCCTCTTATAGGCACCTGTGGCTCTTGCTCTCTTTTTAGAAGAACACAAAGCATTCCTAGAAAAACTGGTGATTCACAGCGGCAGGGCACTCAACTGAGTGATCGCCATGGCCAGAGCCACATCATCACTCAAGCAGGGATTTTTCACATGTCTACCACAGAATTCCTATTTTCTTATGAATGTTTTATATTATTTTACATAAAATAGTTAGATGGGGTTTGTTTTTTTTAAAAAAAATAAGCTGTTTATAAATCTTGTTAAATAAATATAATAAAATATATTTCATTCAATCAAATTTAAAATACAGTGGTACCTCTGGATGCAAACGGGATCCGTTTCGGAGCCCCGTTTGCATCCTGAAGCAAACGCAACCCGCGTCTGCATGTGCGCAAGTCGTGATTTGCTGCTTCCGCGTATGAGCGTGATGTCATTTTGAGCGCATGCGCGAGCGGCGAAACCCAGAAGTAACACATTCCGTTACTTCTGGGTCGCCGTGGAGCGCAACCCAAAAACGCTCAACCTGAAGCATATTTAACCCGAGGTACGACTGTAGCAGTATTATGTTTACTATTATTATAGTTAATGACTTCGTTCTGGCCAATATTGCACTTCATGCATCATTTTTGGTGCTACTGGTTGGCATTGAGCTACAACTGAAAAGAAGCTGGTGTGTCAGAGGGCAGAGCCTGCAGGAACGAAAGCTATTTTCACCTCAGATAAGCAACACTTGGTAGCGCTGGTGGCCCCAGTATTGTGGAATGCTCACCCTGCTGAAAAGCAAGGGGTCCTATCCGCATGGGCATTCCGCGGGCTCTTGCAAACGCACTTGTTGTCACATCCCCCTGATCTCCTGACCTAAACCCCCCATCTTAATTGCTGTTTTAACCATTGTGCAGTTTCAAAGGGCTTGTTTATTGCACGTTTTAATTGTGGGATGTGTATTTTAATGTTTTGATGGGGCATTGTTTTATTGCTTGTCTCCATTCTGTGCGTTTATATTCTGTAAGTGGTTTTATATTTCTAAAACCACTTACAAGCCACTTTGGCAATTAAGTCGTATATAAATAAATTAATAATGTTTAGCCTCAATAATAATAACTCTTTCAAGGAAAAACAACACAGTTGAAAGATAAGGAAGAAGTAGGGAGTCGAAATGAGGTGGAGGGAAGTCACATGCGAAGAATAATTATTATATTTTTGGTTTATATTTGTGTATAAGAAAATACATGTTGAAGAACGAATGGAATATGTATATGAATAACCAACTTAAAAACTCAATAAAAAATTATTATTGGTTGTTTTTTTTTAAAAAAAAGTGCAAGCAATTGCTTTAAATTCAGAAGTAAGTTCACCAGAATAAAGCACTTTTCCTGCCTAGAAAATAACAACAACTCTTGCATGTGCTTACAGGTCCTCAGCCACCAGGCTGTTTTGTAAGATGTGTGGTGGTGAAGTAATTTGGGGGTGTGGGTGGGGAGTGACAACAGAACACAGGTTACCTTTTCCCTCCTCAGCTGTGTCTCCCTTCCCATCAAACAAAATTCCCTCCTGCCTGGCAAATAGGCTTAAAAATCAGCTTCCGCTGACACCAATGGAGGCTGTTTTTTTAAAGCATAATTGAACTCTAGCTGTCTGCAGGCTACATGTCAAGGTCCCTGTGGCCAACAGTTCCTCGGCCCTGATATTGTACAGTGGAGATACCATATTTTTTGCTCTATAAGACTCACTTTTTCCCTCCTTGAAAGGGGAAATGTGTGTGCATCTTATGGAGCGAATGCAGGCTGCACAGCTATCCCAGAAGCCAGAACAGCAAGAGGGATCGCTGCTTTCACTGCACAGGGCTCCCTCTTGCTGTTCTGGCTTCTGGGATTCAGATTTTTTTTTTCTTGTTTTCCTCCTCCAAAAACTGGGTGCGTCTTGTGGTCTGGTGCGTCTTATAGAGTGAAAAATACAGTAGTTTCCCCATCCTCAAAAATAAACATGTCATCATAAGTGTATTGTTTATTTCACTTCACCCGTCGTTCTGCAATTTTACAATTTCCCCTTACACTGGGCCAGAGGGTACAAGAAATGGAAGGGATGAATACTAGGCCTTCAGATCTCTATATTTACCAAGTGAGAAAGATGAACCAATATAGAAAACTCCAGACCCTGAAGCCTTGTGAAAGCCTTTTGCTGAGGCCAGTGCAACTCTCAGAAAATCACAGCATCATATTAGCCTTCTGCTTGCCTTGCTTCATTATGGCATGTCTCATCCCTGCTTCGCAGCTTGCTCTGTCAAAAACATTTTAACCATGCCCTGAGCAAACTAAATCCCTCCCTCCCTCGCTCTGGTGCTGAAATGTAATACGATAGGATAAACTGGATTGTTACATAATGGTTCAAACACGGGCACAAAACACAGAATGGCCATTGGGCTGATGAAAAGCACAGTTGCTTTGGGAGCAAGTGAACGATCCCTTCGCAGACCCAATGCAGACATACAGCAGAATTGCCATCTCACAAAAATGAGGTTGAATGGCTGGAAGGAAGCCAAGCCAGAACAGGGACTCTTGCAGAGACAGCAACAGGCAAGCTTCTTCATGTCATGGGGTACTTAGCGCACAGATAAGCTTTTCCATTCTAAATGAGCCCATTTCTCTAGATAACCCTAGCTGTTTTCAACTGTTTTTGGAATTTCTGGACTGCAAGTACGCTTCACCATTAAGCCAGTGCTTCCTAGATCTTGTATTCCTTGAACAAAATGGTTCGAAGGGCTGCTAAAGCAACTCAATTCCAGTGCAATCATTCAAAGGGTCAAAGCAGAGCAAGTATTGACACCCGCAGTTGCCTCAATTGAACACATTCGCTCAGCAAAAGATTGTCAGGGTTTAAACGTTCCCAGAAGGTCAAAGCATGAGACACTCTCTCTTGAATCCTTCCTGAGGCCAACCAAGGCTTTCCGTTATTTACAAATCAAAAGCATTTAGAGACGATCTTTTATTATAATAATAATTTAAACAAGGAATGCCCTGTTTTTTATATATAAGAAAAAAGGGGGGATACACCCACCTCTGTATACCATCCGTGTCCAAGCATTCCCAAAAATATAATTCCTATGCATGCATCTGATTCTGCACACGTACACACATTCAGGCTCTCTCACTCACACACACACACAAGCACATGATAACATAAAATTTAATTTTATACAAAACTGTATAAATAAGAAATAATAAAATAGATACTCTTCAGTTCCAACAATTCCCCCCTCAGAAAAGAAAAACCTTCTGTGTTGTGGCATATAGTTGGAACAATAACAAAGAATTAAAAGAAACTGATTTTAAAACCATATTATTTGCTTTAGAGTATTAATCCCATCTTTTCAAGGGTTTTGTTTTCCTTTTGTATTGTCTTAATGCATACCAGTTCTACAAAATGCATGCTGTAGATTTTTTTAAAAATATATGTTTGCGGGGGGGGTTGTAAGGATTTGATCCGGCAAGCAAAAGCAATCCTTCTTTCCTGCCTTGAACCTTCCTGGAAACAAAACATCTAATAAAATCTAGCATTAAATAAAAATAAAAAATCACCATGATACACTTGGTATATTGACCGTTTATGGTGCATGCTTGACTCAGCAAACGGAACAAAAGAGAATAGCAGCTTTTTCCCGTTCCCGCAGCCCCTGCCATGTTTTGGAAGCCAAAAAGCAGGCCAGAATACAAGTTCTTCAAAGGAAGAATCGAAAGAAAACAAAACCAATACCTGATGCTTTGATATATACTTTGTTAGTCACATGGCACTGGTAGTGGAATTGTGCGTGTGCACCTATACCCTAACCCAGACACGCCACACACAGGCACACTCGTGCTCTCTCACTCTCACTCACACACACACACAGAGTGACCTGCTTGTGAAGGAAAAGAGTTCATTAGGTCAAAAAGTGCCCGAGGGCACATTGAAAGCTCCCCACTAATATGTGCAACTTTGGAATTTGGATACCCACTTCCCATCACCTCGAATCTTCAGACTACCGAGGGGCGGGGACATAAATGTAAGGCATACTTTGCTCCAGAGCTGAGTCTCAGAGGAAGGATGTCTATTCCTTTGCTTGATTTCCTTGAATAATCTTAGCCTCGCTCTGACTTACACGAGGAATTCCTTTTTAAAAAAACAAACAAAGCAATCTTAGGAATAAAAGATCAAAAACCCCAAGGACAAAGGACTTCAGATGGACTTCCGCCGTCTCATCAGCCTGTGGCTGTCTGTGAAGCTGTTCAAGCCAGGAGAGATGGAGCTTACAGGAGATGGGAAAAGGCTGTTTTTTAATGTGCTTGGCGAGATCTCCTCTATCTTGTAGGAGATAGAGTGAAAGTACTGGAGGTTCAACTTGGAGCTGAAGGAGTTTTGGTGGGACACAACCCGGCTGGTGTATTCGTGGGACCTGTAGCACATGCAGGAGCAATCCGACTGGAGGTCCGTCACCTCGGCCTTGTACCTCGGCCGCCCATGCTGGGAATCTTCTTGGATGTGGATGATCATGCTGTTACGGTTCCCTGCCTGGGAGGCACGTTCCTCAGCCTCCCGCCTCTCTTCCTCGATGTTCATGAACAACCTGAGAACAACCAGATTGAGGAATGCCCCAATGACTGTCAAGCCTACTAGGATGTACATAAAGCTAAAGGCCACGTAGAGCGGCTTCCTCTGGAGGGCTCCTTTTGTCTGAAGGGCCACGTAGTCCCCAAACCCTATTGTAGTCAATGTTATAAAGCAGTAGTAGAAGGCCTGGAAAAAGCTCCACTCCTCGCAGTGGGAGAAGGCCGCTGCTCCTATGCAGAGGGTCCCTATGCACGAAAAGAATCCGACAGCCACCATGTTCTCCATGGAGACATCAGTGCTCCTCATCCTGCAGCACCTTTTCATCCGCTGCAAGAGGTACTTGACAAAGGTGTTCATGCGTTCGCCAAGGCTCTGGAACATGACCAGGGTCAACGGGATGCCCAGGGCAGCGTAGCACATGCAGAAAGCCTTCCCAGCATTTGTTCCTGGGGCAGCATGTCCATAACCTGGAGAAGCAAAAGACAAAAACAGGTGAGTGACCAGGGAGGGAGGGAAGGAGGGGTGGCTGCTCCTAGGTGGAGCTACCCATCACAGATGGACTTTGGTCTTTCACGTTTCAGTAGCACCCTGTGCAAGCCCCAAAATCCGCTCACATACTCCACTTCTCACCTTCTGTTCTGTTCAATTCACTACGTCATAGCTGCAATGCCCTGCTGCCCCCCGCTAGGCTCAATGCCCAGCACGGTGGAACAAGTCGCCCTGCCCTAAATCTTCCTCTGTACCCATTCCAAATGCCCTACACATGTCTACTGTAAAGGAGAAACAGAGCTGTGTGTCATCACTGAAAGCCTCATGGGGCCCAAAACACTCCCCAAGCATCACCCACTGAAGACAACCATCCAAGTAGAACCGGAACCACTGCAAAACAGTTCTGCTCACCCCCAACTCGGACAGCTGCTCCAGAAGTATACCATTGTTGATGGTACTGAAAGCCACTGAGAGTTCAAGGAGGATTAACAGGGACACATTGCCCCTGTCTCTCGTCTGACAGAGGTCATCATATAAGGTGACCATGACCGTTTCTGTGCCAAAGCCAGGCCGAAACCCCGATTGAAATGGATCTAGAAGATCAGTCTCCTCCAAGAGACCTGGATCTGGTCAACGGCCACCCACTCAAGTACCTTACCCCCAAAAGGGAGTTCGGCAGCTGACCAGTAATTACTTAGGTTCTCAGAATCTATGGATGGTTTCTTGAGAAGTGGTCTTATCACTGCCTCCTTCAAACAGGCAAGAACCACCTGCCTGATATTGCTGTATCATAGCAATATTGCTATATCACAGCAATAGTAGTGAAAAGTGATCTGTTAACTAGTGGTAGCAACAGCAGCCGCAGCAATAAATACATGACAAGATCTCCTCCTCCTCCATTTGCAGGATCTGAATGCAAATTGTGTGCTGCTGATTTTGTTTCCCTTTGAATTCACTTTTTCAGGCAATATGGGACCCACACTGCTATTCAAAACTGGAATGGAAGAAGCTTCACAAGCATTCTTCATCGTCATTCCATGGTAATGGAAATTCACCTTCCTTCGTGGGGCAATCTCTCCTTTTGACAACAGCATAAAGCTGGGGGTGGAGGGGGGGTGAACTATGCCAAACCCTCATGACTCAGACATTTCTTATGCTGGCTGCAGCCTGAGATGGCAGATAACGACAAAGGAATAATTGCATCTGAAACTTAAAACAGACGTATTGGGGGGGGGGTATGGTCATGACTGAGGTAACACACAAACTGCTTTTCCTCCAGGGAAATGGTAGCAAAGAGTGACGTAGATCTTAGGAATAACTCCAGTCATCCTTTCGGCATGCTGAATTTTCCTTAGCTCAGTTGTACTAGACACTTAAAGGCCATTGTATGTAGACTGTGTATCTGAAGCGTCTAAGCTGCTCTTGACTCAGGTTGCCCCATCATCTTCAGTCATGGTAGCAGACAAGCCCTTTCAGGAGCAGCTAATACTGTCATGGTTGGAAGTAGGAATGAACATGTCAGTTTGGGTTTCTTTCTGTTTCTCCTTTTCCCAGTTTTCAGTTAATCTCATTTCTGCATTGCATTTGCAGTTTATGCATTGTATTAGGTCAAATGGTTTGCAACAATTATTGTATTAGGCAAAGCTGCATTTTTTATATTAAAAAATGCGTATATTGGAGAAAATTCACACTAAAATGCTGGTGAATTTTCACGACGTAAAAAAATCCACGCAGTAATGTAGAAAGGTGGAAAAATAAAAGTAAGGCTGGGAAAATGAGAAACTGGAAGAAACCAAAATTGACAAATTTTGGCCTAAGTAAACCCATTAGTAAATACTGCAAACAGTGCATCCAGTTCTCTAAATTAGAGTTCAGCTTATTATATACACACCCAGAAAATGACTCCACTCCCCATTAACTTCTCTTTCCATGAGTGGAAATAACGAAGGTTGTCATCAAATCTTTTCTAAAACTGACTTTGCAAGTAGGGGATCTGTTACTGCTGAATAGCTACCATCATTTATGCTTATTTCATATTGTTTACAGACCACTTTTCTAGGCATCTGCACCCAGAGCAGTGTACAGTTAACATCAGTAAAAACAACAAAGGTCAATCAACAAAATGAACACTGAAAAAGACTGCTACAGAACAAAAATGCAAGGCGAATTTTGAAAGAAGGGCCCACAAGATCTACCTGGAGGAGTGTTCCAGAACTGCAGCAACAGCACCCCCCAAAAAAGCTCAAATCTGTTATACAACATTGTAGACAACTTGGTAAAATCCTCATGGCATTTGCCGCTCATTAAGTGGGGGCTTTCTTGACTGCCACAATAGTTGGTGGAGCCTCAAGACTACAAACTCCATGGTACAGTGTTACTATGACCAAAATATTGTTATGAGTTTGGGGGTGCCAGACTCCCCTAAATTCCTGGACCTAGTAAGTGTTAGAATTTAATCAAGGATTGGAGTGTTAAAATATAAACCAAGTAAGCTCCCTCATGAGAGGTGAGCCATTAAGAAAACAAAGGAACGGTGATGGCCCATTAAGAAAGCTAAGGAGAGAGAAAGCTCTGTGCCAGATGGCAAATGGGTGACACCTCTCCTCATTTTGAAGTTAGTTAGAAGACAAAGCCAGAGTTTGAGGCAGATGTTTAGAGTTGGCTGTGATGTGACCTAGAGGTGGGAAAGGTTGCAGGTTGGCAACAAGCTAGGAAGAAGGTTGGAGTATGATTGATTTCTGCTTGAATCCAAGGCTGCACCTATGGGAGAAACAAGATCCTTAATGCTGTGAACCCCTCCATCACAGGCTCAGGTTGTATATATGTGCACATAAACAATATTATCGTAAAGAGACCATAATCTCTGCTGTGCCTCATTTGCAAAAGGAAACATGAACCCCTGGAATCTCACACCACTCAGAGATTGGGGTGGCAGGCAGCAATATGCATCCACAGAAATATATGATACCTGTGAATGTAACAATAAATAAGCTAATTTTGAGCATATGCAACTGTAAAAAGGAGCAGCTGAAAGCCAAAAAGAGCAGATCGATTTCCTGCAGCAAAAATGTTGCCTGGCTGCCTCTAGCCTTATTGCTATGCACTGGACCACACCAGCAGATGTGAATAAAGTTTAAAATAAGTGTAAAAGGAATCTTGCTCCTGCCCTAGCCGAGACTACAATCGTCTCCCAGAGATTAACAGCACGAGCCACAGGCCTCTTCTTCTCTCATCAGCTCTATCAGGTCAGGCGCCTGTCTTCC